TGGTCAGCGACGTTGACTTTGATAATAATAACATAACCTCTCTTTTTCGAGAATAATGGGCCGCGTTAGCGAAGTAGATAGGAGACTCGCTTTCAAATCTAGCTGCGATTCGCTGCAGCCCACGCCGGTGTTCGAAACCGGTGGGTTCCATTGGTTCACCCAGCCTCTAGGTAATGGGTACCAGAGTTAACACTCATTGGTAAATGGAGGAACGTCGTTGTAGCTACGGAGTTGTGTGCGGACAGCGACACAGGTGGACAGTTTCTTATCAGCTGTCCGTACTGGTGGCAGAACACTTATGGTTTATAACCGTATGCAATGACGCTGGTTCACATCTTCCGACTTTACCTTTGCCTTTTCAAGTATATTAAAATGTGTTTTGGTTTTAACGGGCAAGCACGCCAGTGGCACAAACAATATATTTGTTACTGTCAGTGACGTTTCGGGTCATGACGTGGGAGGCGGATTGACGAACGACACTTGACAGCGCCTACACAAAGCAACTGCAGCAGACCTCGTCGATTCGCTTGCCATTATCCCAAGAGAGCACAAAAAGGGCGAGAGCTGCAACCCGCATAGAGTGAAACATTTTGTAGATTCAGAAAAGACATCAAAAGGGACTAGGATTGCGCTGTAGTTGAGTTACAGCGGAACATTTCAAGTAAACGGCCATCTGAACTGTGAAACAAACACTTGTAGAATAAGGAGACAATGCACAAGATCTTACGTGATCATCAGTTTTACAGAATCTCAGATTTATTAAAACAGTTATCTGCATTTGAATAACATACGACTAAGTAAAAAACAGTAAATTTAGGCCCCCTAAAATTTACAGCAATTGCTAAAATTCTTTTGCAAAAGAATGTTGTTTTAATTTTAAAAAAAAAAAATTAGAAAGTTACATTTCTCAACGAGACGAGCAATAACATTATTAAAGCATTTTTAACATCTGACTGGTCGTATCGTTATACAACCATTCAAACAGATAAACACAGAGGTAGCTTCGATTTCCTGTCTCGTAAAAAAGAAACAGCCAAACGTTTGTAATCTACAAGACCAGCATATGTTTAAAAAAAAATAAAGATTAAGAAGAGACAACTATAGATTACAGTAATACATTTGCCAGAACTAAACAGCTAAAGAGACCATACAACGAAAAAACAGTTTTATTTGAATTTATTGTTATTAGAATATTAGTAAGATTACATCTAAGGCCAGAATCTGAGAAGAGTAGACTAAAAGCTAGGGCTCGAAGAGCCTCGGGAGAAGCAGGTTTTTGTTCTTTGACTGGAGACTAAATTTGTGGCAGCAAGTGCAGTTCCTGTCCAGGTAAGAAGAAGTAAATAGACAGTAATTTCTGTTCCCATCATAATTTGAAGCAACTTTCTTACATTAGTTGGGGCACGTGTTATATATTGGTAATTTTAAGTACCATGTCCCCCGCCTTTCGGGCGTATTGAGCATACAGTGCTGACCCTATACATTTTTTTTTTTTGGGTTAGAACTGTCGGCACGCAGTGGCTGATATCGTCAACACCACGCCGACTGCCTTTACTTCCCACTACTACCTTGTACATATGTGAGGCTGGTCGACCTTGAATATTTATAATGCACTCGAACCCCCCCCCCCCCCCCCCTCCCCGCCTTTTCAGATTTTCAGAGATCTCAAGCGTGAGAATCAAACAGATACAAAACCTGGAAGTGCCGTTCAACCGCTTAGACATATAGCACAGTAATACTGAGCCACCATAAAACTGTTATAAAGTGGTCTGTAGTTCAGCGTGCGTGGGTAAGACAGCATCGAATATTTAGGTTGATTTTGCCTAAGTGGATACCAGGAAGTGTCATTGGAAGTAAAAGTGGCTGCCCTTATGTTGACCACATCACCAACCCAGTGCCGACTGATCTTTAACACTTTTAGTCCCTGATAGTGTTGAATTCAAGCGTTGTATCCTAAAACAACAGTATTTCATAGAGTTCAAAATACAGCTTTGTTAGTGAATGTTTATAATAATAACTAAGGCATGGGAGGTGGGTGGGTTGGGGGAGGGGGGGGGGATGTCACAACAACAGATTACCGTCATGGTGCAGCGGCTTGTCGCTCGCACTCCCGATCCATAGGTTGTAAGTTTTTCATTTTCAAAAATGACCTTGGCTTCCAGGTGGACCCAGCCTCAAACAGGTACCAGGTAAAGTCCTGGGAAGTAAAGGCAGAGGGCGTGATGTTGACCAACAGCATCACCGATTGGCCTATAAAATGTAGGTCTAGGCCAATATGCTCAATACGCCTCAACTCGTGCAAAAGTGTCCTTTCCTGTTTTACTTACATAACAAAAGAATAGGATAGGAAAAGTAAAGACATGTGTACAATGTCTAGTAATGTGACTTGTAAACATGTGGCTAGTTTCTTGGTTCTGAAGGAGTTAAAAATGGGTCTAACCAAGATCGGTTTTAGATGTCCGGCCATGCTGCCGACGTCACCAAACCGGCCTAACGATAAGGTTAATGCGGCGATTCCCAAGCTCAGTGCCGTGGCACCCAGGGGTGCCGGAGGCATATGTCAGGCGCGCAATAATCAAGAATTTTTCCAAATCTGCTTGACACTGTTTTTTTTTTTTTTTTTAAATCACTTTCTGACAAAACAAGTTTTGAGAAACGCTGCGTTAACGTATGGTTTGCCCGGTTTGATGACGTCAGCAGCATGGCCCGTCAGCTGGAGCCCGTCTTAGTCTAGCCAGGGACGTGCCTTGCTATGATACATAGATTCGTCCGTATCAGGCGGCACGGTAAGGTCACGGCATTTGCATCGCAATTAAAATACAGACGCGTAGAGCGATTGCTGGATTGTAAACCGCAACTCCCCAAGCGGCTTAACTGTAAATGTCGAAGATGTTGATAATGATGATGATGATACCATGTTCAGGACACATACGGTTAAAGAGAGAAAGAATGCCAGAATTACACATAAAGTTGCATGCGTGAAATACGAAGTCGTGGCTTTCTGATGATTGTCACTTTACCGTCACCAACAGTATACATGAACATGAGTGACATGATTAAACATTCTACTTCTCCTGGCTTCTGGAGGTGGGGTATACTGAATAAGGTCTGGATACTTGATTGTCGACCTGGCTTCCAGTGAAGTTAAAACCCTTTGACAAAAAAGAAATTCAGAATTAGCAATCACCCTACACCCTACATACCAAGTTCCTCACATCTCCATCTATCCACATACTGTTGGCTCAGGGGTCTGTGTTAGGGTTGGAAGACTGCATTAGCCTGTACAACCTCACGTTGCCATTGTCAGCTGAGAAGTGAGCAGGGAACAAAGTTATGATAGCGATAATTTGTGTGACACCCTTGTAAAGGATACCACATCTCCCCTTTAATACTGGCATATCTATACTCATGCAAGTATACCACAGATACAAGAACATAGATATATATAAAACACTAAAAAGTAACACACACACACACACACACACACACACACACACACACACACACACACACACACACACACATCTACAGCTTCAAACTTTCCCATGTTTGTTTATATATTTTCCGATGCCAAGATGCCGTGAGTGACGACTGAATTGTATTAAAATTAGCCAGACCCTGCTGATATCGACCGATATAATTGGGCGCTGACCCAGATACGGTCTTAGTTTAAAGATTGGCTAAATACATTTAACAATGCGACAAACAAACTGTAACTGAGATGTTTAATGGTCAAGCCGTCTGGAACCCATAGACGGAGTCCCATGATATAATAACCTCAGCTTTTTAAGGGGATGTAAAGCCCGGGCGCCCACCTACAGTAAGAATGGTTGGATGGCCTAGTCATATTAATTCACATAGCCACCCCGGTCCTACACTCAGCAGTGGGTTTACATATCTGGTACTCATAATCTATAATGTCTTACCCATGCTCAAGAATATTCTCGTATGTATCGGTGATTCAAATAGAGACAGATAGAACTAAGCACAAAAGTAGAAAGCCGTGCATCTTCTCGGGAAGCTCAGTCAAGAATATTTCAAACCAAGCGTCTCTCCCGATTGATGCGGGAGGGGATTTATCCGCGTCCAAAGCGGTAGTTAGGCCAGTGGAGTTTTGGCTTGACTATCAATGAATCTCCCACCTAAGGTTCTAAATTCAAAACCATGACCTTTTATAGATAATTAGGATAGAATTGAGAATTTTTACCGACATGTAGACACATACTTATTAAAAAAAAAGGACTATTTACACATAGAGGAAAGTCCATTTTTCAAATAGGCCTCATCACCATAGAAGTGACAAGATCTGGACAAATTTATGACGTGAGTAGTGTGGGCTGTCCCTTGACACTTCGTCTCTGTCGTAACTTTGTTTAGGAAAGTATTTCTAAGTTGATAATCCCTGAGGTAGTGAAACTTCCTTATCTTGATTTAAGAAAACGAAGTTTTGTATTTTGAAGAAGATCATGGTGATGATAATGATCATGATGATGAGAATGCTGCTGATGATAATGATGATAATGGAGGAGGAGAAGGAGAAGGATAAGAAGAAGAAGAAGAAGAAGAAGAAGAGAAGAAGAAGAAGAAGAAGAAAGAAGAAGAAGAAGAAGAAGAAGAAGAAGAAGAAGAAGAAGAAGAAGAAGAAGAAGAAGAAGAAGAAGAAGAAGAAGAAGAAGAAGAAGAAGAAGAAGAAGAAGAAGAAGAAGAAGAAGAAGAAGAAGAAGAAGAAGAAAAAGAAGAAGAAAAAAAAAAGAAGAAGAAGAAGAAGAAGAAGAAGAAGAAGAAGAAGAAGAAGAAGAAGAAGAAGAAGAAGAAGAAGAAGAAGAAGAAGAAGAAGAAGAAGAAGAAGAAGAAGAAGAAGAAGAAGAAGAAGAAAATATAGAAAAAAAAGAAGAAAAAAGAAAGAACGAAAGAAAAAAGAACTAGAAGAAGAAGAAAACTAAATAATTAAGCATATATCTGTATTAATTAATCTGCTCTTGTCTTATAAATTTGTCAAGATGTGGGTTGTGCTACAAACTTCCCTACACACCTTGATGATGGTGACATTGCTGTGTATGATGTTGCCTTCGACTCTGACGATCAGTGTGCTGTCCAGTTTCCGTTCTGTGGAATCAATGAAAGGTAAGGCAACGCAGATACCATTTTCTTTTCCAATTGCCAATGAATCATTAACAGGCTCGTCGTGTTCTTAGTTTGTCAAACTGCTTCTGGTAGGGAAGGCTTTCGAGTCACCAACCTTTTCTAACAGTGTGCTTGTGATATTTGAAAGTAGCAATAGAGCTAAAAGTTACTTGCGTATCCTTTACAAGACGTTACGGAATCAACCCCAGCGTTTTGTGTATGTGTGTGTGTGTGTGTGGCTGTTTTGAGTTTTCTGGGCAAATTTTACGCTCAGTAGTTTCCCACTGTGTCGGGTCTGTGGCTAAGTCGATGCGAACGCTTCGTAATGCCGGAATGCCAGGTTTGATCCCAGCTGCGGACCATGCGCCTTGCGTTGGTTTCGACAGTGGTATCAAGAAAGCTGACTGTCCAGAAAGCAATGGCTGAACTACTGGACGTAAATTTGCCTAGAAAAACCACACAACAGCCAGGGGCTGTTAGGGTTGGTTTCGCAACGTCCTGTAGAGAATACGCCATCAACCTTTAGTTTCCCACTGCTTAGTGAAAGGTCAGTTCTCGGTACCATTATCGAAACTAACGCAACACAAAACGCCCGCAGCTGGGATCAAACCCAACACCTCGGCATTACGAAGCGTCTTCGCAAACGCTTAAGCCACAGACGACGACGGTAATAGAGTACATAGTCTTATAACGAATATTTGGATTCATAGAAAATGCACATAGCGGAGAAAGAAGACAGAAGCAAAAACAAATGTCCTAATTTGTTCTAATCACTATTAATTACTGCATCATGAGGGTCATTGACTGACATTTTACCCCACCAGGACATCACACAGAGCGATAAACACCCGTTGACACAAAGTGCCACCATACGGATGAGGACCACTCGTGGAAACGTCCCGGAAACCCCGTTGAACCGCTAAGTTAAATTAGGGCTTCCAGCAACGGTAGCTAAAGCGTGGATTTAAACAGATAGGGACGACATGCGGTGAGCTGCACACAACTGCAAAATATAGAACGACTTGGTATGAGTTGGTTGAGGGTCAGTGCTTCTTTGAGGAATAAAGAGCGAATCGCGTAGAGCGATTGCTGGATTGTAAACCGCAACTCCCCAAGCGGCTTAACTGTAAATGTCGAAGATGTTGAAAATAATGATGATGATACCATGCTCAGGACACAGACGGTTGAAGAGAGAAAGAATGCCAGAATTACACATAAAGTTGCATGCGTGAAATACGAAGTCATGGCTTTCAGAACGTGTTTTTAGTTTCCCACCAGGACATCCCACAAGCGATATACACCCGGCAACACAAAGTGCCACCAATCGGATGAGGATTACCCGTGGAGAGGTCCCAGAAACCCCATTCAGCTCTTAGGCTACAATTTATGACCCAGCTATATTTAGGGTCCCAGGCAAAAGCCAGGGTGGGGCTTCAAATAACGAAAAATTACATCCCACATGGGGACGACTATAGGCAAGAACGCGTTTTGTCCAGGACACGCGCACAGCCGAGACAGACTGTCTATGATACCGTTGTAAAATATTACCATATTGACTCAATTGATCACTTAACTTTGTCTGCCAGGCGTCATAAACAGCACTGTGAGAAGGTCAGTGTATCTTGAGCACTGAATTGTTGCATACATTATTAAAGGCACCAACACATTGCGTCGTTCTCATCGTTATAATTCACAGGTTCTACCCGTGCGGCTTCCAGGGACACATGTCGGCTAAGAGAGAGAGAGAGAGAGAGAGAGGGGGGGGGGGGAGACCCACTAAAAAACATTTCACACAAGTCAAATAATTATAGGAGTTTGCTTAAGTCGGGTGCATGGGGCTAAAAAGTGCAGATATCGTATCCGAGCTGTAAACCTCAACACGGCTTGCCAATCACCGTTTTAAGGGCGAATATAGAAGAAGAAAAAGAAGAAGAAGAAGAAGAAGAAGAAGAAGAAGAAGAAGAAGAAGAAGAAGAAGAAGAAGAAGAAGAAGAAGAAGAAGAAGAAGAAGAAGAAGAAAAAGAAAAAGAAGAAGAAGAAGGAAAAGAAGAAGAAGAAGAAGAAAAAAAGAAGACGACGAAGAAGAAGAAGAAGAAGAAGAAGAAGAAGAAGAAGAAGAAGAAGAAGAAGAAGAAGAAGAAGAAGAAGAAGAAGAAGAAAAAGATGAAGAAGAAGAAGAAGAAGAAGAAGAAGAAGAAGAAGAAGAAGAAGAAGAAGAAGAAGAAGAAGAATAAAAGGAAGAAATAGAAGAAAATGAAAAAGGAGAAGAAGAAGAAGATAATAATAATAATAATCATAATAATAATAATAATATTAATAATAATAATAATAATAATAAGTAGAAGAAGAGGAGGAGGAGGAGGAGGAAGAAGAAGAAGAAGAAGAAGATGAAGAAGAAGAAGAAGAAGAAGAAGAAGAAGAAGAAGAAGAAGAAGAAGAATAAAAGGAAGAAACAGAAGAAAATGAAAAAGGAGAAGAAGAAGAAGAAGAAGAAGAAGAAGATAATAATAATAATAATAATAATAATAATAATAATAATAATAATATTAATAATAATAATAATAAGTAGAAGAAGAAGAAGAGGAGGAGGAGGAGGAAGAAGAAGAAGAAGAAGAAGAAGAAGAAGAAGAAGAAGAAGAAGAAGAAGAAGAAGAAGAAGAAGAAGAAGAAGAAGAAGAAGAAGAAGAAAGAAGAAGAAGAAGAAGAAAGAAGAAGAAGAAGAAAGAAGAAGAAGAAGAAGAAGAAGAAGAAGAAGAAGAAGAAGAAGAAGAAGAAGAAGAAGAAGAAGAAGAAGAAGAAGAAGAAGAAGAAGAAGAAGAAGAAGAAGAAGAAGAAGAAGAAGAAGAAGAAGAAGAAGAAGAAGAAGAAGAAGAAGAAGAAGAAGAAGAAGAAGAAGAAGAAGAAGAAGAAGAAGAAGAAGAAGAAGAAGAAGATTCTATGTGTTTCTGTGTGGTGGGCCTCTTGCCTGCCAGCACGATGGTCATATATATTGGAATCGCCTTCCAGGTGGGGATTTCTCCCTACTTCTAGAGAGCTCCTAATGAAATGGATACTGTGAAACTGAGGCAGTAAAGCTTTATTTGGCCCATCACTCATAGAGATCAGAGTTAAAAACAGTGTAAAACTGAATATAATACCCTTCTACTCACATATTCTTCTAAGTGTTTTGGATAAAGCCGACTAGCCATATAACTAGGCTGGCATTTTGAGCGCCCCATCCCCTTCCCCAGCTTATGGGGAGGGGGGGGGGCTGACATTTTAAACAATTAATAGATTGGGTAATTTAAATCCTCCCAAGTTCTTTTTATCATTTTGTTTCTGCCATTTAGCCAAATTAAACTATTACTTTCTTTTGTCAATATCTGCGTATGCCGTTATGCGTTTCAGTTCATCAGGCGATTGGCAACCAAGCCAGGGGGCGCTCAGTCGCTTGTTATATCGTGATTTTATGCAGTTTTATGTTGTCAGTGACTTATTCAGTCCATATTCTTCTCAGTCTTCCCCTGCCTCTTGGTGTTTCGATTTTCAGGTTGTACGCTCTTGCTGCTGGCATCTTTAGTTTCATCCTCATCAGACGACTAAACCATTTCATTCTTTGTTTCTCAATAAATTTGAGGTTGGGTGTTGTTCAAACAGTTCTTGTGATCACGTCGTTTCTCACTCCATCTCTTCTGGTTTTATTAACAGCCATTCTCAAACATCTCATCTCACAAGTGGTTAGTTTTATTTCGTGTTATTTTTTCAATGTCCAAGTCTGACATTGGTAACCTAAAGTCGGTATAAATATTGTATTTATGATTAGTGTTTTTGTCTCTACTGTGATAGCAGGGTATTTTAAAATTGGAATAAGTTGGTACATGACATTGTTTGCTTGTTGGATTCTCGTTTCTATCTCTTTGTCTATTTGTTGTGTTGTGCTGTGTTGTTGGTTTATGTTGTCCTGCAGCTGTTTACTTTCACTGTGGAATATGCACTCATTGAAGTCCTTCTGTATATCGACATATGGTGGTGTTATGTCTATTTATTAAATATTGTCCACGAATATTATATAAAGTAAAGGTGAAAGAAAACACCCTTGCCTTACTCAGTCTGTGAGGCCAGCTCTTGTTCTGACGGCGCTTTCACTTTCTCTATAAATAGCTCTTACACAGTCTAGCACTATTCCATTTATACCATAGTTTTCATGGACTTTCCGTAGTAAATCTCAGTTTACTCTGTCAAAAGCATTTTCTTGATCTATAAAAGCGATGTTTATTTGGTGTCTGTGTTCTATTGTTTTTTCGCTAATTTTCCTTAGTGCGAAAATAGCGTCAGTAACCCTATTCCTTTCCTGGATCTGACCTGTGCTGGGTTCAGATAGGGTTCAACAAATCCGAATCTTGGCATTTTACCTACGTAGCTTAAAACAAAGATGCCTCTATAAGAGTTAAAATCGCGCTTATTGCCTTTCCTTTTCCATACCGGTACTTTAATGGCTCTTTGCCAGTCTAGTAGTACAATATTACTACGCTCTTAAATAAAGCTTCCAGAAAATCACCAGCCCTTATCAAATGTTTGCTGAATGTTGCTACATGTGATCAGGATTCAAGTAATTAGTGGATTCAAACACATTACGACATTTTGCTGAGGCTTCTCTTGAGGACTGGCTAGCCTAACGATTAAGAACTCAGGGCTCCAGGAACTAGGACCCTTAAAAACTGCATCGAACTTAGGCAACAAGGGAACAAACTTAAGTGTAATCACACACCACAAAGGAACAGAACTAAAATAAGATAGCAAAGGAACCATCCTTGATAAAGCAGTCCTTCAGGCGGCTAAAAAAGGACTAAGCTCGGAATTTTGTTTGATTTTTAGGATACGATACGATACGCAGGAGACCAGGGTTCTGTCAGGGGCAAACGTGGAATCACTTTCAAATTTGTTGCACACCCAAAAGTGGAGTATTCTTCATGCTAGTCACATGATTTAAACTTCACTTTGCATAGTTTAAGCGGTCAATG